GTAGAGGAATTGTATTCCTACTTTTTGAATAGTAACATTTTTGTTTTTTATTGATATGCAATTCAGTCAAGCCAAACTAATGCTACAAGAAGATCCAAAGTTCAAAACAGGTTGGAAATTTGAACATGTTTGGAATATTATTAAAAACTTTGAAAAGTTTAAAGATGGTGCCGATCCTAAACGCATATTAATCCCACCTCGTGCCGAGTATACATCGTTCGAGTCTGGAAATTCCATTGATTCTCCTACACAAGCATCTCCAGGTTTGTCTTCATTTTCTTTAAACTTAGATGATACCGACGAGCTTACTAGCGGATCTCCTTCTCCACGACCAATGGGGATCAAGAAATCCAAAAATAAAAGAAAACTTGTTGATCAAACAACATCAGTTATCAACACTTTAGAAGAAGGCAATTAAAGAAGACAAGTGCACAAAGACAAGATCATCTGGAGATTCAACAGAAAAACTATGCTTTGAAAGAGCTGAAGATGGAAAACAAAATGTTATTTTATGACATGAGTTCCATATCAGATCCAAATATTCATGCATATGTTCAAGGCAAACAAACAAAAATTTTACAAAAGCGGAATGCTCAACAACAAAATCAAGAATTTCCTCCTCCATCAACTTCGTTTGGACAATATTTTAATAATATCGGTGGATCAGGAAGCGATTTAGCAGAATATTAAATTGTTTGTATTTGTTGTGTTAAACTTTTATGTTTATCTTTGATTTTAGCACTTGTTGTGTATTTTTCAGTTTATTTTAAGTTGTAATATTTTGAAATAAAAATTTTAGTGTTCAAATATTTATGATTGTCTATTTTATATTTTTTTAAACTATTAAAGTCCTATAATCTTGTCAAAAAATCTTATAAACATGAATCATAAAATAAAAACTTAATTATTAAACTGATAGTTATATATATATATATACATACATAAAGACCATTTTTAATTTTATATATGTATATATATATATAAAAGTCAAAGTGATATGTGTCATACAAATATAAGTATATATCTGAAAAAAATGCATATAGCCATATATAATGTCGAAAATAATACTGTGTTGATAAAAAGTATAAAATTATAATGATTTAATATTTTAAGGATCAGATTGTAAATAAAAAAATATAGCTGCAAAATGGAGTACAATAAAGATTTACTCCAAATATAGAGCAATCTTTATTTTTTCTCTATTTTGCAGTCAAAAATGGAGTAGGATTGGAGTGAAATTTACTCCAAAATGGAGTTTGCAGCAAAAAATGGAGCCGGGTTGGAGATGAGCTTAGAGTCGTCTCCTGAAAATCGGACTTAGTGTCCACTGTTGAGCATTATTATGTAATTATATGTCGACTTATTTATGTATCGCGGTTTGATCGACGACTAAAGAGAAATCCAACACTATTACAAATGAACGTCCGTAATACATCGCAATTGCATTTTTTAGCCTCTCGGATTTTCGTGTAAGATAATGGGTTTTTTGGATTTTTCTCATTAAAAGAAACAAATATATATTTGACCCCCAAAACAACAATTAAATAAATAAATGATGACGTGGCATAGCCTATCCCCATCGCTTCTTCTTCCTCACACTACTCCCAACATATCTCTTTTTTTTTCTTTCCGTTCTGAAATTCCATTTCCTCTGAAATTGAAATTGCATCATTTTTTAGCTGCGAGCTTGAAAGCTTCCGATTCAATTCCTTGATTTCAAAAGATGCCTTCGTCGTTCTCCAAGCCGGCTTTGGATCCCTCTTCGTCGCCTCCGCAGAATTCCCCTCTGTCACAGGACAGCTCGGAGGCTGAACGCCGGCTTCGTGAGGCGGAAGAGAGGCTACGCGACGCCATGGTGGAGCTTCAGCGCAGACAGCGCTCGGCGGCGCGTGGATCTAACGCGGAGCTCTGTGATCACGCAGACGTCTCCTGTGTCGCCAATGCCATCGGGAATCTCTGCCAGAGCTTCCTCCTCTCCTATGGCGTTAGAGTTGGGATCGGAATCCTTCTTCGCGCTTTCAAGCTCGCCAGGGGGCAGTCTTATTCCTCGCTTCTCGATCTGAAGGTGAGTGTAAACGAGGAAATGGATAGATAAGTTTTGCTTTTTGTGGCAATTTCATGGTTGCTGATTCTATGGATTTTGGATAGAGGATTAGATTCTTACGTTAGCGTTTCATTTAATCGAATTCTTTTGAAATTAGAACCAATGGGTCATTGACTTCGACATGAGAATTTGAGGCGGTTCCAAAATGGTTCAAATGTTGCTATGAAGAGTCTAAGGTGTTCAAATCTTAAACACAAGCTTTATAATCTCATCATGTAGATCAAGCATTGCCATTACACGGTTGATTTTTTTCGAGTTAGGCCAATGGATACACCTGAGATTTTTAATTTCCAGGCTATCTTGCTTTTCGTCTAAGATGTGTTAAAAGAATCTGTTTCCATTAGCTCATCGTTTACTAAGAACACCCTATAAGTCTTGGTATTTGTGATTGATAAACATGAACAATGGTTGCAGCAACTTGTCTCGGAGAAAGATTTGATAGTTAGGGAAGAAGCATGTCGTATTGGTCTACTTTTTGGTGGCTTTACCGGCTCGTATCACGCCCTTAGATGCTTTCTGAGAAAATGGAGAAAGAAGGAGACGCCATTGAATTCGTAAGTTTCTGATATTGCTCTATGTTGGCTATTTATTTCATGTTTGTATTGTTGTATCTCCTATCTTATATGCTTCTGCTGTTTGCTTGTGCATAGTGCTTGAAAAGTATATTCCTTATTATGACTTTGGTTAAGGGTGGAGCAGAGTCTTAGCAGGTTCAATTGCGGGTTTGTCTGTCCTGGCTTTAGATGATTCCAACCAGCGGCGCACACTTGCTCTATACCTCTTGGCTAGATTAGGCCAGGTACAATTAATGATCACGAATTGTCTGTCTTACGAGTAATATCACTACACAAGATGTATTTTTAGGAGTCTGATCTTTCTCCTTGTGAACAGGCGGCTTACAATTCCGCAAAGTCAAAAAACAAATTTCATCTTTGGGGAAGCCATTGGAGACATGGAGATTCTTTACTTTTTTCTCTTGCTTGTTCCCAGGTAATCAAAAATTCTTCGTTCCTTTCTTCTTTTCTTAGTACTATTAGTCTGAATAGTTGAAGATATCTAGTGTAGAAGTTCGTGTAACTTCATCTATTGACTTGTTGTAGCGTGGAAAAGAAAAGATATGTATCATACATATCCTCTTCAATATGATTTAGTCTTGGTTATGAACACCAAGCTAATTTTTTGCTATGAGACCGATGCAGGTTATGTATGCGTTTATAATGCGTCCTGAAACCTTGCCGAAATCATATAGAGAATTTATTCAGAAGACTGGTCCAGTTGCTAGACCTGTCTACCAGGCTGTAAGAGAATGCTGCAGAGGTGGTCCAATCGATGTAGCCTCAATATCAGACTATATTTCTAGTAAAAACGAAGCCAGTGACGTGAAGGTGGAAGAGTTTGCTTCTATCATCCCTTGTTCAGCTATTCATCCAAACACTAATTCGTGTCTAGCCCAAAACGCTAATGCAATGTCAGCTACATTCAAGAAAACATTCCCATTATACTTCTCCCTGACATTTGTCCCATATGTTGTGCTTCACCTACAAAAGGTAAGGGTTTTCCTTATACTTTATGCTTTAGTCAGACATAAAATTGTATTTTCTAATGCCATTCCTACACTTTCAGTTCATGGCTTCTCCTTACCAAACATCTTGGCATGCAATCAGAGATTCAGTTCGATCGACTTCCTTCTTGTCTGCTTTTGTTGGGATTTTTCAGGTACATATGATCGTCTCCTTTCATTTCACACAGCCAAATTGTATGTGGTTAAATGATTGAATCCCATTTGCACTAGGCTTTCATATGTGCGCATAGAAAAGTTGCGTCCAAGGACCACAAGCTCGTGTATTGGTTTGCGGGTGGTGTAGCAGCACTTTCGGTTATGCTGGAGAAAAAACCGAGACGCTCTGAACTTGCTTTATATGTTCTTCCACGAGCAGGAGATTCTCTGTGGGAGATACTTATCAACCGCCACCTTCTTCCCGATATTAAAAACGCTGAGGTACGGTTTAACCACAATTGTTCTTCCCCTTTAACAATAGAGCTCTGAATTCTTATCCAATTTTTCGAATCAATGAAAACAGGTGGCTTTATTCTGTGGATGTATGGGAGGAATTATGTACTATTTAGAATATGAACCTGATACATTGGCTCCGTTTCTGAGGGGACTAATCCGACGGTTTCTTGCTAGTCAAATAAGCAATCCAAGCAGCAAAATCCGTCAAAGTTCATCATATATGTATCTCCAGACTCTAGATAAGTTGGAGAAGCCGAAAACGCAGGAGAGCCGAGAAGGTGAAACTCAAAAAGCTGAAGAAAAGTATAACCTCGAGGCAATACCTGGTCTTTAGAAGCGAAATGGTCTCAAATACTTTCAAGAGTTGTATTAGCATCGTGGGTAATGATTTTGATATGAGAGTAATGTGAAATTTCCCTGAAAGAAAAGGGTTATCCACAGGACCACAGAGAAAAACTTGAGAGATTGAAGTGATTTTATAGGGTTTAGGAGTCTTTTTGTCTTTCTTTTCTTTTAACTCTCTCTTACCATAATAACTAAAACTGTCTCTTCTTAATTTCAATGAGAAGTTGCAGAATGGAAAGATTTATGGCAAAATAGCCAGTGTTCACGCAAAACATAATCACTACTCTTTTTTTGTCTTGAATTTATTCACATGCTCAGTGTTGGAACATATATTATAAGTCAATTCGCCTAAGATCTGACTTGGTGTTTTAATTCTCATACCCAAGAAACTATCATATTACTCAAATTGTTGTGATTTCGTTTCTATTGGTCTAAAGCTGATATGGATTTGCACATATATATGAATGATGGTCAAATTAATACAATTCAAATGATATAAAATGCAAAACCGCTGAACACTTGTAACCATCTGTTTCATTTAAGGAATTTTTCATATGCCACAAAGTCAAATGTCAAAGGTAGTTTTGTAATAGAATAATTTCAAGCGATTGTCTTAATGGTACACACTACACACCTTCATTGTATATTCAAATCATAAACCTATCTATCTCTCTTCTGCATCATCACCAAAATGGATGCTTTTGAAACTCATTTACCAAAGGAGATCGTGCCTGATCCTCTCCATAACTCTTTTAATCCCAGGCGTGAAGAGTATGCCGTCGCCGGGAAAATTCTCCGGCAGCGGTCAGGCTTTGTATTTGACTTGGAAAAAGACGGTTTCAGCCCTCTTCATGCGGCTGCAGCAGCTGGTCAAGTAGAGGCTGTGAAGACCATTTTGGGACTTGATGAGAAGCTTTGCCGGCTAAAAGGTAGAGATGGAAAGACTCCACTTCATGTAGCGACGATGAGAGGGAAAACCGATGTGATCAGAGAGATTGTGTCGAGCTGCGTTGATTGCTTAGAAGACGAGACGGTTCAAGGTCAAACTGCTTTGCATCTTGGTGTTCTGCACCAAGAGATCGGTGCAGTTATAGCCATTGTTGAGTTGATCACGGAGAAGAATCGAATTGACGTGTTGTACAAGAAAGATGAAAAGGGTAACACAGCTCTTCATCTAGCGACCTGGAGAAAAAATCGCCAGGTAAGAAGAATTATGTTGTTTTGTGGTTAAATAGTTCTCTTAGTGTAGAATCATAATCTGTTTATCTTTACCTTACAGGTGATTGAAGTGTTGGTTCAGGCAATACCAGAAGAGTCAAGAACATTTGAGGTGAATGCTATGAACAAGATGGGTCTCTCTGCACTGGATTTGCTGGTTATGTTTCCTAGCGAAGCTGGCGATAGAGAAATCTACGAGAAACTCATCGAATCAGGGGCTCAAAGAGGGAGAGAGGTCGGTACAACAAATGTCGAGAGAACCACTTCAACTTCCACATGCCAAGCGGAGTCACAAAGCCACAAAGATCTCGTTAAGTACTTCACTTTCAAAAAGCACAGAGACTCACCATCAGAAGCACGTAGCGCGTTACTGGTGGTGGCTTCACTAGTAGCCACAGCCACGTTTCAAGCCAGCCTGACTCCACCAGGTGGAACATGGCAAGATAGCCACATACCTGCTGTTTCCCAGAACACAACGAACGTGAACACAACATATCAACAAGCTCATATAGCAGGGCAATCTATCATGGGGACCTTTAATGGAGTTGCTTTCACTTTGTTTGTGTTCTTTAACACGATTGGGTTTGCAGTTTCACTTTCTATGCTCAACATTCTCACCCTCGGGTTCCCATTGCGGTTCCAGCTTCAGGTCTGTATGATGGCTATGTACTTCTCGCACAACACAGCCATGACCAGCATTGCGCCTGATCATGTCAAGCTTTACTGCATTCTCATCACGTCCATCCTCGCTGCTACCACCCCAGGTTTGATGAGGTTGCTTGAGAAGCCTATTGGCATGCTCGATCAATTCTTGGACTCCATGTTACAGAAAATCTGGCGATTTATTTCAGTAAAGATTATTCCATGGAGATGATTTGTAATATAAAAGCAAGATCAATATCTATCTTTTCCCAATAACAAGGACCGGTTGTTGCATTTTCCAGAAACCACCATTGTCATTATGAATGATATTATTATGGATTTAGGATAAACAGAGAAACTCATCTGGATGTTTATTTATTGTTGTTACAAGTGCATACCTGAAAGGTTTTCGACCACGGAGAAATCGAGATTTTATTTATTCATCTGGAAGTTTACATATCTTGTGTGTTTTGTTTCCTATCTTACATTCGATCCCACAAAACTTAGTGGTGAAGATACGATTCTGCAAGCAACCACCAGCTCTAAGCTTACTCAGTTCTCTGTCAACAGCTCCCTTTAGAGAAGCTCTAATATCACCCAACGCCCAGACCAAGGATATATGCGGTCGCGGATCCTGAAGTTAAAAGTTGAAGCAAACACGATGTTTTAAGTGTTGGTGAATAGTAAACACTATCAAGCTTACTAGAAGCTGTAAAGAACTATATAGAAAAGCAAATGGAACCTTGTAGAACTCTGGCAGATTGTGAAGCTTGTAAACTTCATTAACAGCATCAATTTGCTTACATATCTGAATTAAAACATATGAGAATAAGTAAAGCTTGAGTATGCAAAAAGCTACCACTCAAGGAAAAATCTTGTTGTACAGCAAACCTCAGATAGTCCAGAAGTGGTGATTTCCAAAGAGAGGAAAGAGCGAGTACAGTCGTCATTCACAAAGACTTCCCACTTGTTAAAATCGATCCAGTATCTGTCAAGAAAACAATTCACAAATCCAATCATATACAGTGGTTGGTTCATATGGGTAGACAAGAAAAAATTATCTTTACCTTTTGTGAAACTGAAGCTTCTGTCTAAGCAAAGAAACAACTGAGTTAATCTGATGAACACGTAGAGGAACGCTTCTTCCCAAGCTTATGTGAAACTCTCTCCCCAAGGCACGCTCAAGCTTCTGATCATCCTTGCACAGGATGCTAAGTGGAACATCAGCTTCCACCAAATGAAGATTAGGAACAGCCGATGCAACCCTCTTTAGAAAACAGACAATCTCCTTCTTGGGCAATAGAGGTATAGAAACTAAAATCAAGACAAGTGATACATACAATTCAATGATTCATCAAATAAATTCTCGAGTATAGGTTTGGATTTCTGAAAAATGCGATTACCAGGGATGTAAACGTGCAAGGCGTAATTGCCATCGACATGAGGGAAGTTCCTTACTCGAACCCCAGGCTCTGTTGCGAAGAAATCTAGCGAACCTTCTAAGCTCAAAGAGATTTTTCAGAAACGTGATGAGAGCGAATCGTATGAATCAACAATCAGAGTAAACAATCAGTGAGTATCATCACCTGTGGATCCAATGGAATCTAGAAGCGAAAGCGGTGGAGGAGGTAGGGTTATCGGCTCCCTCTCGTGCTCCACAGAGGTTGATTTCTCGCCGGAATTTGCAGCGACGGAACTCGGCGGGGTAAAATCGTCGGTATCGGAGTCCGATGAAGAGTCTCCGTAAGTAGCTCGCAATGCTTCCATCGCCCGTAAGTTAGAAAAAAAAAACAAACAAAGGAAAAGGAGCAAATACAAAAGAGACACATAACCGAATGTATTTTTAATCCGAAGCCAAACCGAAAATAACCAAATTAAACCAAAATCATTCGAAAAGAACCAAATTAAATCGATCCGAATTTAAAGCAGCACATAGAGGAAAAATCTAACGGGCCGAAAATGGGCCTACACAAAACTCCATCCAAGACCTAGCTAAACCCTAATTACGTTCACTATAAGTATTTAGCAATCGCCTTGAGGTGACTCATCAAATGCATCTAGGCTTCTAGGGTTTTCTCTTTCGCGAAACTTTCTCTGGTTTTCATCGTTCTTTCTTTATGATTGTTAAGTTTTTCTCGATAATCGATTTTAATAAGGCAGTGACGACTCGGAAATTTCAAGCTCAACAGACCGGAATTAGGCGTTTCTTCCTTTATTGGAGATTCGTTTCTGTGTCGATAATCCCGCTGAACTGAGCCTTCTCTTTTTTTTTCCAATCAATTCTTCATTCTTGTGGTTTTTTGAATCTTGAAAATGCGTTTTTGTTTTTTCAATAATTTGATTTTCACGGGAAATTTTGATTTAATTTTGAATTGGTTTTAAGTTTTGATGAATTGAGTTATGGAGATCACGATGAGGATACACAGCTCCCTCTTCTGAGTTCAGCTGAAGAGAACTGCTGGCAGAATCGAACCTAAAATCACTAGCCACCACTGAGTGATCTCCTTTTTTATCCTCTCGATTGCTTTTAAAAGTTTGATTTTCTTTTTTTTAATCAATTTAGAGTTATCGTGAAGATGCATTTAGATGGTGATAATGATGAAGCAATTTTATAATCCAACACTTGATCTGAGAGATGCTATGTGCATCAGCGATGTTACAACAGTTTAGCTTCTGAATCTGCCCTCACAAATCTAAGCTTACTGTAGAAATCATCTGAATTAAATTAGCTAAAACGTAATGATGTTGATAACCTTGAAATTAACTTTACAGCTATCAGGACAATTAGTGATTTGTATATATTCTCGGTTAAGATGATCCTTAAATTTACATGATTCAAAACCACAAATGTAAGCTTAATTGAGATTGATGAAATCGAAATTACATCGAAACGCTAGCGTTTTGTAGACGCGATGAGCGTCGATTTTCTACACGAGATTTCTGACTCTCTGTCTATAAATTTGATTTCATTGAAGCTAAAAGCTGTTTCGTTAGGATACTTGCATGTTTGGATTCGGGGACTTTATATAAATTGGAATTTTTATTGCCTGTGAAAAAGCTTATTTGTAATGGTACTAGATGCAATCATCAAACGTTGTGATGTATATTTTTGGTGTGATGAATATTTTTGGTGTGATGTATATTTTTGGTGTGATTAGTGAAATCTTGTATGCAAATCGTGGCTTAGAAAAAGAACATACGAATAAATTACGGATAACTTATAAAGCAAATTGGTTTTTAAGTTTTAACAAACAGAAATTGATGTGTAAAACTTCTTGTTATTGGAAAGTTGATTTATAAAGATTTTTAGATTTTAAGATTCTATAGTTATTGGTTTGTGGATTTTTACATTCTTAATAGATTTCTCTCTGTTATTTATTTAGAGATTATAAAAATCAGTTGTTATTGATATGATGATTTTTATAATTTAATTAAAATTCATTGTTATTCAAAAAGTTTGTATTTTAATGATTCTATGATTCTGTTATAATCTAGTGTTATTGGTATAATGATTTTTTATAATTTAATTCATAAATATACTACCTATATCCTTTAGATTCTCAAAATCTGTTATATTAAAAAAAAATTAATAGATTGTTTAAATTCATAGAACTCTCTCTAAATTTTATAAATCCAACAAAACTCTTAAAAATTTGACAAATCTCATGATTTTTAAAATCAACTAAAATCTTCATAAATCTAACTCCTAATAACCCCCTTAATTTTATTTGCTAAAGGCGTAAATGATACTGATAAACTTGAAATTAACATAACAGCAATCATCAATTTAGATTATATGACTCCTCAAATTGAAATGATTCAAAATGAGTTTTTATTACAAAATTACAATCGAATATATTTTGCGTTATTTGATCAAGATATGATTACATGGTTAACTTGATTTGACCGTAAATGCGTGAACGAACACTCAATTTTTTGAACTGGTCGAATGTACCATGTAACGTGTAAATCTGGACGAAGCGACCATGAGGACAGTAGTGGAATATAGTGGTTAAGTTTGGTAAAATCATAAGAACTCTGAATCATATTGGTACGATGTTCTTTAACAATGGCTACTTGATTTTTATATAAAAATACAAAGCGGAAGCTGTCAAATGAATTGGAACCAATGGTTTTGTCAATATGAAAAGCAAACCACAGTTTAAGAACTTGAATAACACTACTTTACTCTTAATATTTTCCTCCAATTATTTTGTAGCATTTGAAGAACTATAGACATCGTATTTTTTTTTATTAATCTAGTGAAATTAGATTTGTGTCCATCTTAAATAGAAAAAAAAAATTGTAATATAAAGGTTACGTTTAGTAATTAGTTCTGTTTTTGTTTAATCTCTGCTATTTAAAAAAAAAAATAACACATAGTTGTTGGAGGAAGAGAATCCATGGAAACAATGAAAAAAGTATTCTGTTATTTACAGTTTTCTTAATCTATGTATGTACAATGAGTTGGGAGCAACTGATTCCAATAAAAGATAATTAGTGTAAATTGTTAACAATAATATTAGTTATCCTTATACTAAATATAATATATATAGTTCTATTAAATATATTTGTCTTCAATAAAAAAATATTTTGGCTCTATTAAATATATATATGTATGGTATTATATACTAAACTAACACTAAGAAAAACTAAACCAATATAATTTAATAGGTATTAACAATTATACAATTGAACCGAGTCTACACAATTGATATTCATCTTCAAGATAGAGCTGGAAAAATATTGATAAGCTCCATCTTGTCAATGTTGTCATGAAATTTTAGCTGAAACCACATATTTAGTCAGCATATCTGCAAGTTGCTGATCAGTCTTCACATACATGTTTTTCAGGAATCCAGAATCAATATATTTCCAAACCTTGTGACAGCCAAATTCAATGTGTTTCGTCCATTCATGAAACACATGATTGTTTGCAATACCCATAGTTGAAGTATTGTCTGTATAAAAAAAAAGCAGGAGGAGTAAACGGTACTCGGAAATCTTGAAGTAAATAGGATAACCAAATCATCTTTTTGGCAGCCATAGCCATTGCACGGTACTCAGCTTCTGCTGTGCTCATAGAGACAACCGATTGCTTCTTTGATTTCCAAATGATCAATGAATCACCAAAAAACATTGTATCCAGTAACAGATCTTCGTGTATCCAAACATGCTCCCTAGTCTGAGTCAAAATAACTTCAAAGATCTAATTTTGCATCCGCGGCATAAAAAAGGCCATGTCCCATTGTTCCTTTGAGATACCGAAATACTTTGTGAACAACCTTTAAATGTGGAACTTGAGGGCCTGATGAGTATTGTGCTAATTTTAAAACAGCAAAACATATATGTCTGGCCTAGTGATCGTCAAGTACTGGAGTTTGCCAACTAGTTTGCGATATTTGGGATTTTCAATAACCACATCTTCATCTTTACGAAGCATCTGATTTGGCTCCATAGGAATAACAGATAGTTTACAACCTGAAAAAACCATTAGAACCAAGAAGATCCAAACAATACTTCATTTGACTGACTAAGATGCCGTCATGAGATCTTGCAATCTCAAGCCTGAGAAAGAACTTAGGAGAACCGAGATCTCTCAACTTGAAATGGGACTCTAATTGATGCTTTAACACAATCACAGCTTCATGATGTCGTGTCAACTGCGTGAGGGAACAAGTTTTACCCTTAACAAAACAAATAAAAGCCACAAGTGCACAGCTAATCAGTTGTAGTATTTAGGGATCGAATCTACAGAGATTTGTGTGCCTGGTATTCTTCTACGGTTTTTAACTTTATGTCTAGACTAGATTGGTTTTTAAAGGTTGGTTGTTTGTCACGAATTATACTAAAACAAAAGAAAGCAAATGAATCTATCCTAGAAAGCAAGTAGAAAAATCGAATGGAAAGCAAGTAAAATATCGAACTAAAGTAATTGAAATGCAGATCTAAATAAGCAAATAAAAATCGATTGGTTTGTAAACTATGACTAAAAACGCTGAGCTTTCGGGAACTCTAAGGGATCATAATCGGTTTTGACACTAGGGTAGATAGATTGGGATTGACGGATATCGATATATAGGTGGTTCTAGATCTAGAGTACGGCGGTATAACTACGTCCCTGTCGTGATCATAACCAACTGCTTCTTGTAACCCTGACCAGTAGGTTTCCACTCTGGCCCTGGAAGGGAGAGAACACAAGAGCTGCACAAGACTCGTCAATACTCACGATCTCGCCGCAGGTAGGTTTCCACTTCTTCGGAAAAATTGTCTGTTTCATTCTAGGACTGATACTTAATGAAAACTTTCGCAACACTAACTATCTAGATCAGATACTAGGTGATCAATCAAGCATACATGCAATAAGAACAAGAATAAACAGAGAACAGGTCGAAATCCCAGATCTATAAACCTAGATGTCTTAATCGATTATGAGAGCCCCTTTTGGGAACCCTAAGCCTAACTCGGGATCTACTCAGACATGGCTGAGGTCGACATCATCATTGGTTTTAATAAAAGTAATGAAAAACAGTAAAGAAAAGAGATGAAGAAAGCTTCTCTATTGAAGAACTCGGACTTGAACAATCTTCTACAAAAATCGCATAAAAACGGCTAAAGGAAAGGGTTTCTGTAAAGTATAAAGGGTGGTGTCTAAAAACGACCTAAATGACAAGTATTTATAGTCTTCAATACTCCATGGTCTCTAGGGTTCCGGAATTGAGGCTGAGAATGACTTTGGGCTTCAAAAATATGGGCTTTAGTGTGGAGCTTGATGGCCGCGGTCGGGAGTGATGTGACCGCAGGGATTAGGTGGCTGGCCGCGGTCGGGAGGCTTCTGACCGCGGGAAATGGGCTGTTGGTCGCGGTCGCGTGACTTGCTGGCCGTCTTCGAGTGGCTCAGGGGCTAATGGAATATCTTGAGATCCAACCGTTGGAATGTCTTCAAACCAAGTGAATTTGAAAGCTGGTTGATTCTTCTATAAGTTGTCCAATTTTGAGGGTGATCAGACGGTGAGAAGGTCTTCGTCCCTCCATGAGAGTTTTGACGGTCTGCATTTATTCAAAAGAGTCTTTTTGTTCCAATTTGTGCCTCTTTATCCCAAATTACCTGAAAAGTCTTTTAAAATCCGAAAACATAGAAAAATCCTTTGAAAATATTTGGAAATGGAGTAAAAAACACATGTAAAAGATATTAAAGTGATCCATAAAAATGGTCAAAATCCGGTGTTATCAACTCCCCCAGACTTAGTCTTTTGTTTGTCCTCAAACAAAACAAAGGCTAAATCTCGGCGAGAGGTTTGAAAACGCAGGAACTAAACAAAATCTCAGAAACCAAACTTCTAGACCAATATCAATCAGTATGCGTCAATCGGGAATAGCCTAGAAAATTCTCACTAGCAATACAGGCATAACTAGTCTGTTAATCCGTCATGCGGAAATCTATGCACTAAGTTCTAATTTCCAGTCAACTAGCTCCTAACATTCATTAAAAATCTCGGTGGTTCTCATCAAAGAAAGTCTAGGCAAGGCAAGCTATGCTAGGTGTCAAAAAGGTTATTCTAGGGGTAAGGATTAAAGTGTTTACGGGTTACCTGAAGATCTGGAGAATGCAAGATATTATGCAAAACCGCAAGAGAGAGTGAAGCTGTTGGTATCCACAGTTTTCAGTCACTTTTTTCTTGC